TATAAGTATTCTAATAAATTTTGTAAAATTGTATGGATTATCACCTAATTATCTTATTTGTTCAATTTCACCTGCTTTTTTAACTTTTGTTTCGTTAAATATGTTAGCGGATGTTTCTCCTAACAAGGTTTCTAAGAATGCAAACATATCTCCTACACCACCTTTATCACTATTTGCCCAAGCTCTTACGGCGTCAAATTCCCATGTGGATATAACAGACTCCCACATTTGAGGATTATTTAAATTGATTGTTAGAATAGTATCGTTTATATGGGCTGGTATTAAATTAATTCTTTCTATAGGTTCAATACTTCCTTTAAAATTATAATTATTATCTTCATAAAAATCTCTTCCAAAGGTTCCTTATCTATATGGTCTTTCAGGGGCGCCTTCTTCTCCTAAAGGGGGAACTGGATCAAACCTAGGTCTTTTACCTCATCTTGATTAGAAGGTTCTGGTACTACTTCGTCTAGATCCATTGGTTGTTGGCTAACTTTTATTTCTTCTATTTTATAACAAGAATCAGTTTTTCTCCAGTTAAAATTATCTTTAATGTGGGCATCTATATATTTCTTCTTTAAGTTCTTCCATAATTTTTTCTATTGTTTTATTTAAGTCTCTTCTTAAAATCTCTAAGATATCATCTCTACCTGTTATCTCTATTAGTTGTTTGATAAAATTAGATTCTATTGGACTTATTTCTATTTGATTTCTAATGACTTCTTCTGGTAATCCTAATGTCATTTTAAAATTCAAAAGTTAAGTTACTATATTCAAATGTTTTTCCTTTTATAAACTTATTATAAAACCATGGGCATTTATCTTCTAAGATTAATATAATCTCTACTATTTTTGTTGCTAATAATATTTTTCTCTTTCATTTTTAGTTATATTTTGAAGTTCATTTAATTCTTCTAAAAAGGTTTTAAAATAAAAATCTTCTATAATTTCTAATGCTTGTTGACTTCCTAAATATTTAACAATTTTTTCCATCAAAAATTATTATTTTTGTTTATCGGGTTTTTTCTTATAAATTTAAATGTTCTTCCCAGTAGGTGGAGGCTCTTTCTTGAAGGATTACATATGAAGATCATCTCAAAACTAGACATATAATCTTTTTCCGACTCCTTTTATTCCATTTGGTGCATTAAATAACATACACCTACAGGCCAAATCATACTTCAAGATGACAACAAAGAAGCTCGCCCTAAATGTCACGCAGGCTTGACGAGTCTTAAAGCATAACATTATCATCTTAAAATACATCATTACTTCGGTCATAGAGATTGTAAGCTATTACCAAATATGAAATAAACTTTATCTGTACTCGGAGAATAGAGGTCTATATTTGATCATTAAAGATTAAGGAATTTCTTCAGACATCTCTACGGGGAGAAATTAAGAACTACTCACAAATAGACATGATAAACTTCAAACATTCATTAATAGAAAATACTTATCGAGAAATATTACAAGACTTCAGAATTCTGATTCACAGACTCTTAAACACTTAAATGCTATGAGGCTTAGGTGGTTTCTCAATGCCTCATTGCATTACTTGTGTTTTATTTATAAGCGAGAAAAGATAACATGAGTGGGTTGTGACATATTCTCCACTCACAGAAAGAACACACTAAATAAGAGTGGGACCCGCCACTTATAAAAGTAAAACAAACTCTTTTATAAAGATTTATACACAGAATAATAGTGGGACCCGTGGGACCCGTGGGACCCGCCATATTCTTTACTTTTAAGAGTAAAACAAATTGATGCTAAATTGTAACTGTCTTATGAAAAGAAGACTCTCCACTGAGTAATTGGATGCTCCACTGAGTAAAACATAATGATATCATTTCACTTCTTCTGAAAAAGCCCTGAGAGATAATTATTACGGCTCCATAGCATTTTCTATATTTTGAATGATTATATCATCTAGAGATTCTATCCATGTATCATTCGCGTTGTCTGGTATTTGTATAGGACTTTGAACTGAAGTACATTTGTATTTATCCATGTCTCATCCTCTATTAATAAATATTTGAAGTTTATCATGTTAATTTGTGAGTAGTTCTTAGTTCCTCCCTATAGGGAAGATGTCTTGAAGAAATTCCTTAATCTTTAATGATCAAATATAGACATCTATTCTCTGAGTACAGATAAAGTTTATTTCATATTTGGTAAGCTGAAAACCCTTTAAAACATTGGGAAAAAGATAAAGAATTAGCAAATATTCCTATAATAAATAAAGATTTAGTTATAAAAACTAAAGAAATAGAATACAGTCCTTTAGACAAAGAAGATTTTAAAATTCAAATAAAAGAATTAAAAGATTTAGGTTTAATAAGATCATCAAACTTAGAAAATAGATCTGCCGCTTTTATGGTAAGAAATCATGCAGAAATAATAAGAGGAAAAGTTAGAATGGTAATTAATTATAAAAGATTAAATGATAACATTGAAGATGATATATACAAAATACCAGATAAATACATGTTAATAAATTTAATACAAAATAAACGTTATTTTTAGTAAGTTTGACTGCAAATCAGGATTTTGGCAAATTAAGTTAGATGAAGAATCAATTAAGTGAACAGCATTTACCACACCATTAGAACATTATGAATGGTTAATAATGTATTTTGGATTAAAAAATGCGTCTAGTATTTTTCAGAGAAAAATGGATAATATATTTAAAAATTTAGACTATGTATTGGTATATATAGATGATATATTAATATCATCCCATAATTTAAAAGAACATTATTTAAATTTCTCTTAATATTTCTAAAATATCATTTCTACCAGTAATTTCTATTAACTCTTTAATAAAATTAGATTCTATTAATTTTATATCTATCTGATTTCTTATAACTTCTTCAGGTGGCTCTGTGGTTCTCCACCATCTATCTATGGACAATAGGAATGGGTGTCCCGAACCCACTCTATTCTTCACTTCCATCATTAACTGAACTATGAACTGTCGGCAATAGTGTATCATGTATTTCTTCAGATACCACATTTGCACTATCATTCTCCATCTTCTTGGGATCCCTGCAGTTCCTTTTTTATGTGACTACTCTTGCCACAATTTCAGCAAGTTGTCTGCTGACCAGACTTTGATTTTGATTTCCCTTTATTTGAGTTCTTGTTTTGTCATCTCTCTTTGAAATCAACATTCAGGGTCGAACTCGTACCTGAAATATCACCAGAATATTTTCTGTACACCTCAGCCAAAATCAAATCACGAATATCATCACATTTCAGTTTCATCACATTTCAGTTTAGCACGAATATCATCACATTTCAGTTTAGATTTACCTGCAGAATTGCTAATTGTCATCCTCATGACTTTTTGACAATTTGACAATGATGCCAACAATATCAGCGCATGTATCTCATCATCAAAATTAATTTCAACAGACGACAATTGTTTTGTGATAATATTAAAATCATTCAAGTGTTTAGGAACAGAAACACCTTTCGTCATCTTCAAGTTGAATAGCTTCTTCATCAAATATACTTTGTTATTCGCCGATGACTTTTCATGCATACCTCATAAGGCTGTCATGAGATCTACAATCGTCCACTCCTTAACGACGTTGTGTGCAACGGACCTTGATAGGGTCAATCGAATAACCCTCAGAACTTACCGATCCAAAAAATTTCATTCAGTCTCATACATCCTTTCAGGTCTTTTTCCCAATAACGGAAAATGAAGCTTCTTCTCATAGAGGTAGTCTTTTATCTGCATCCTCCAATAACCAAAATCTATGTCATCAAACTTCTCGATTATAAAAACTTCACTTCATCTGTAGTCATCATTCTTCCTCAAATCTGAACAAATTTATGATATCAATTGTTGCGAGATATACACCAGTTGATGTGATATATATATAAATCAAACAAGAGAACGATCGACGAAGCAAAAAATAGAATGAGAAAATTTACATTAGAAAACAGTAACACAGCGGAACACACAATTTTACATGTTTCGGCAAATTGCCTACGTCCACGGAGTTGCAGGAGATTTTACTACTTGAGGAATTTACACCAGTTGATAGTCTCGACTTACAAGAGTGAACTCTTTCACTCTGTTACTTTCTCTTTTCTTCTCTCTCTACACCAAAGAAATTCTACATTGAGATACACTGAAGAAGATAAACTTATAAGAGAAATAAACTCAATTTCTCAATTTCTCTTCTGTCACAAGCCTCTGTCACAAGCCACCAAGAAGAAGGCAAGGGAGAACAATTTTCTTCTTCTTTCTTCTTCCTTCACCGCAAGTAACTATATCTTGCACTTCTCTTCCTCTATCCCGAAAAATCCCGAAGAACTCTTTCTCTATCCTGAGGAAGCCCGAAGAGCTCTTCCTCTATCCCGAGGAAGCCCGAAGAAGAACACCAAAAACGTGACTTCACAACCCAAGAAGAGTCATCTGAAGCCTTTATCACGAACAGGGAACTGTGGCGACATACACAACTCTTCACGAAACAACGAACTGTTCGCGGGAACAGTTCACGACCGAGCGGGAGATGGGAGCGGGAGCGGGAGCGGGTTTCGCGATCGAGAGCGGGACCCTGTAGCGATAGCGAGAAAAATCGGAGCGGGAGCGAGAAATTATGGTGCTCCGGCGCTAACATACACCTCTTCTATAAAAATATATAAAGAAAAGAAGAAAATTGCATCCAACCCTTAAAGTCACCAAATTCAAGCATCACCTTACTAACAAGACAACAGCAACTATCCCATGATATCATACTTTACCTAGCAATGCATGGACTGATAAATAGAAGTTTTCCTGACCTTGCTACGTTTTTGAAGCTTCAATATCAGTATCAATTACACATGATGCATACAGGGTGGCTTTCATAGGCATGATAATTTCCTTTGGTACATCACGTATTTAAGAAATCATACCTCATTTCAAGCAAACTTTAGCATTATAGCAGAGATGTTTATATTTGTTTATCAGCACAAAAAATATAAAGCATAAAACATACCTGAGTCCACCATGATATAATACTACAAGCCAGCCAACTGGATGTCTCGATGTAGTGCGTGACAGCAGGCACAAAAAATAAAGCAACCCCGATAAAGTTGCTTATAAGGTATATCAAAACAAAAATCAGATATAGTGATATGCAGAAGTTGCCAGCATCACTCTGGAATTGCATGGTGGAACATACAGAACTTCCTTGAGATGTAGCATAAGAGACGGGAAGAGTGATAGCCCATATTAACGCAACTAAAAACTTAATTAGATATCTTAATCTCTGACTGAACTCCATGTTTTGCCTTGCTCCCCACATCAATGAAATATCGATAACCACTGCAAGTTACAAGGTTCATAACTTCTTCCAGTGAAAAAACTTAACAAAGGACATGCACATAAGCCACAATATTATCCACGCCCAAAATCAATTAAAATTGTCCAAAATTAAGCTAAAATAGCATCGTAGAGTAAAGCTTATTAGTAACAAATAAGTTACTATGCTATCATGCATCAGCTTTGAATCCTTTTACTAAAGCCGACCTATGGAATTGAATAATAATAAATGCATCCAAGGAGGATATTTCATGAATATCAAAAAGAACAGAAAAAACATACCAAAACAAAGAGCATGCCAATTGATATCAAAACAACACAATTTAAACAATTGTAGCGGAATTCAACCTTTGTAAACCATGATTTAGTCCAGGCTTAACCAGTAAAATATAAACAAGGATTTTCATCATTACGTCGCACTTGCTAAATCAACATAGTAATAATCAGCAATACATCAATCACACCCTCGCAATTACATAGAAAAAGGATTGTTCTTGTTGCTCAAACATATAACTCCAAATAAAATCGAGGAAATTTAACCACTGCTCAAAACACACACTTGGTATTGTAGCACACGTGTAGTACATTATTTTCACCACCGCATAGCTCATTTTTAATGAAACTTATGTACTGACTAAAAGTACAAAAAAAAGTCCTAGATATGGCAACAAGAGCTTCAAGAGATGATATTGATTTGACGCATTGATATTTAAATAATCAAATTAAAGAACCGGACCTTGCAGGAATCTAAGAATTGCATTAGTCACAAAGATGCTCATAATGCCATCAAAAACTTCTGGATCAAATAGTTCCAGAGGTGTCTCCAATTCATGCCATGCCATGATAGTCATCATCTGAAAACAATAATACTCCATATATGTAAACCCTAAGAGAGAGATATGCTCCAGATGTATTTTTCATTGTTGTGCTTAACCTGGAGAGCTAATAAAAGAAATGTCCATAACCGATCAAAGCTTCTGAAAAGGTGCCAGAATGAACGAACTTCTACAAAATTTGTCTTCCCCAACCACTTCCATTCACAAGTTTCATTTGGAGACTCCTGAAAATCAGATTATGTATCAAAATAAAGGATCTAACAGCCAAAAAAAGAAAAGAGCATACATGCTAGAATAACTGCACGGCGCTTTATACATTAATGTCCACCTTGCAACAAGCAATGATAACGATGACTACCATAGAGAATGCATATTATATGCTAAACCATGCAAAGACAAAAAATGTTTGATTAGGCTAAACCAAATGGTTATTTTCTTCTTAGAGTCCACATAGGATTCTTGTGTCCTATTTTATGCTTCATTTATTAGATTGTATGAGTGAGATATAAAAAATAAGGCAATCAGAATTGATTCTATCTCCTCAACTTAATTTGTTGCAAGCAATAAGAATGATCAAGAGGATCGTGTTGTTAGTAATAACTCTTATAAAAGAATGTAAAGATTTAATACTTTTTCTGACTTTTATATCCCCTATTTTACAAGGAATGGAAACTAGTGAAAGATGTCTTTTACTAACAAGTTCATGACTCAATTATTTGAAGTAAGAGAAAGAAAGCAGCATGAGAATCTCTCTTGAATTAAAACTCATAATTAGGATTGGAACATATCATATCTACTATAAAGAAAACCTAAAAAATCTACAAATACCAAGAACTGAGAAAATAATTCAGATAAAAATTTTAGTTCCAACTATGTAGTGACTTTCTTTTGCCGAAATCAGTTTTATTTCATTCAAATCATTTACTTACTGAATTAGTGCAGTTGCAACAAATTAAGTCCTAGCATTTAATTAACAATTCGAGCAGCGTTACCTTTCCATGCAAAATATTCAATTAAGCCTTATTTAATAAAAGAGAAGAAAGGCAAATGTACAGACCTTAGAGGTACTAATTTGCTTTGAAGAAAATGATGTGCAAAAGAAATCATTTTCAAGACGCAAGGGCCAGCCAAGCTTAAAACAATTAGTCGACCTGCATGTTTAGTGGCAAACACAAGATTTTGCTGAACAGTATAATTTGAAGTGCATGGATTCTTCTCAAAACATACATGCTACTTACCAGAAAAACTCATTCAAATCATCATAATTTCTCCATTTTGAATGATCCGAAACACCATTTTTGTTCTTCTGAGCTTCCTTCATCAACAAAAAAATAAGGATATGATAAAAGGATTTATCAGAAAATGTAGTGATAAAGATGGTGAAATATAGAGTGGCGCATAGAACCTCATAGATAACTTTGTAAATTGGGGTGACAACATTTCGCAAAAATGATTCATTTTGTCCACCATAAGCTGGGACTACCTTCTTTCCAGTATTTAAGCTAACAGCACTAGATAGCACTCCATATAACTCATATGCCATCTGAAACATAAGTTTTATCTAGTCAAAAAAAGAAACATGACAGAAAACTGAGAACACTATAAAGCATTCTTATGGAATACAGTTGAAGTGGTATTGTAGCTTCAACATTTTACTGAAATCAGTATGTTATATTTTCTGGACACAAAGGTTATAATTTCGTTTCCATCACTTTAACTCCATCAAAGCAGGGCTAATAGGAAAGCGGTTACCAAGAAATTAGTAATGTAATACAACAGGAAATGCATTCTACAATATAAACTAAGCATAAGCAGTTAAAACAACCAAATGCAAATAAAGCTTAACAAAATTACGAAACAGATATATCCCACCACATTAGAAAAATTGATATTACATGATGAAAAATGTAACACAGACATTCTGGCATCAACCGCAAATTAGAAGCCTCTCCCCAGATTAGAAGATAGAGAGCAATGTATAAAATTTTATGTTGCTGTATTTCCTGCTTTACTGATGGTAACCTGAAAGGAGAATAAGGATATTTTATCGAGAGAAAGTAATATAGATTAAAAAAACTTAGAACTTTAATGTCAATTTTACATGCAACAAAACATTTTAAAGTTTTTCATGGCATAGACAACATAGTAAATTACCAAAAGAAGTTTTCGTCAAACAAAGCCTTACCAGAAGTTACATTTACGACCCAAAAATTTGCACCAGTTCCTATAATTTCTAAAGAGTTTTCCCATAAGCTCGTCCACAGCTCTATCATCAAGCTGGAAAACATGTTTATATTTCAGTTTACTTATAATTTAGTTAAGAAATAGTTTAGTCTGATGCATGATGATACAGGCAATGATACCTTTGTGGCCAGTGCAGGTTTTGGATTTTGCCTAACATGCATATTAGCAAGCAGTAAAACCAAATGTTCCCGCTGATTGGAAACACTTCCAGTCTGGAAAATCAATAAAAAACACTTTCATGAATAAATGAGGCATGCTTCCTAAGTGTTGTTCAGTTGACACAGCGATGAGATTCTGTTTGATGTAAGATGCCCAGATAAACAACCAGTATAGCTACTCGAATAAAGCAATAACAATTCCAAGGTCCTAAATTTCAGCTATAAACAGATGGCATCCTTTGAATCACCTGAAAGCCAAACAAGTTCTGCAGCCAGTAAAGTAAATCCAAAGGAAGCCCAGTTTCACAGCTGTTCTCTATACTTGGAAGGCCTCTAACATTGCGAATAGCCGAAATAGAAGCTTCAATCTGTTGAACAATGGTTCAAAATCAATTTTAAACTGGCTAAAAGTAAGCTTTTTATCAACTGAAATTTTGAGCAAACCGCTCGATGGCAAGCAGAAGACGTGAATGCAGAACAAGGAATGAGTTCAAATTAACACAAGAAAGCGGAAGCTCAGCATGACAAACAATAGCTAAAGTTGGATGATTATATTTTGAAAAAGAGTACAAAAGTCTTAACAGAAAAAAAAATATTTAACAAAAAGAAAATAAAAACCCACAAAATCATTGAGGGTCCACTTCTTTAGGTGAACCAACCAAAATGGGGAATGTCAAACATGTTTGCTAAGAAAATTGCTTTCATTGATCCACCTATTCAGAAGTTGATGTGGCTTAAGTTTTTGGGGAGGTTTGTTTGGAAGCATAACATTTTCTTCAAAAGAACTATTCACATGGCACGCCTGTAACTCTGGTAAGCCTGACAACACTCATGATTAACAATATATACAAGCAGTCACAGCTCCATGAGCTCAGATAAGATGCATGATACTTGAGGCCCATTTCTTTTCTTGTGAATTGAAAAATTGAAAACATATTTATCACGACGACAAAAAAAAAAATGCTACATTATACCATTTAGTCAGAGTAACTATAAATAATCAATGTTTTCTTTAAACTTCAAATATTCCTCAACTGTAATGATTTTAATTTTAGACACAAAAGTAAGTGAAAAATCATAACCGAACATGTTCAAACAACCTTCAACCAAATAGTGCATCTGAAATTCATAACAAGCCTATAAAAGTGGATTTATTATTACAAAAAAATGAACATACGACTGGTTTTATAATTACAAAAAATGAAAAATATTTTAATTCCTCGTGAATGTTTATTTGTATCTAATCAAATGAGCTGTAAGATGTAATTGAAAGTGCACACAACAAAATTTTACATTATTTAGACAATTCAAAAAGGACAAGCATCTAACCTCTGGAAGAAGCATTATAGCGTTTTGGCTATCACCAGAATCAAAGGGAAGAATGTTGTATGGACTATATGATTCTGATTTTTCCTTGATGTCCCCACCAGCCGGAAGAAACTGCTGGCATGTTAAATGAAATCCGTCAATAAATTTTATAAGTTTCTTGCTGATTAAAGCAGATTCCAAATTGATGAATGCTTAGTTTGAAGGAAAAAATATAACCTCATGACCATCAGTAAATGAAACTGCCTTCAGAACTTCCATGAGAACAAAAGCAATTTCAAGTGCATTTTCAGACTTCTTCCTGTGAGCAAATCATATTAAAATGAAGCAAATACATTAAAAAGCTAGCTTCCCTGCCATCACACTGAGAGGTATTTATGAGAATATAAGCATAATTCAATCTGTAGGAAACAAATTTAATCAGTTTGTACTTTAGATATAGATATTCCAGTTCACGAGCATCGCTTTTTTGCAGTCGAAGTAATTTGGTGACCTCTTCATCCTATCAAAATAAAAGTGAGTTAATAAATCGAAAATATAAGATAATACAATAAAATTATCATAATAGAAGCCAAAAAATGCTAGGATCCACTGAAACCCATGTAGAACATAATATTAAGACCAGGATTGTGGGAAAACTAATACATAAAAAGAGAATGAGCGGATAAATGCCAAAGGATTAAAGATGAAAACAGCGAATTGAATGGTATGTAATAGGTAGAACAAGGCAGATAACAATGAAATGGAAACTTTGACACAGAAAACCACTCTATTCAGAAATCTTGTCTAGTAATGGAGTTAAGTTGGCTTTAACTTAAATCTTGCTTGACAAAAAAAAAAATTGTAACTTTTAAATCCTGCAATTAGAAAATCCAGTTGCTTTTTAATTTCTTCTCAGTTCTACCTTATATCCGAGATTTACTAAATCCTAGCTTTGGCAGAATTTAGTGATTCCGGATTTATAGGATGTATTAAATTCATTACAAACAGCCCCTTTGATATAAAAGTCGGTCCCCAAGGTAAATGGTTTTTCTTAGTAAAATTTCTTGTTCACTAGGATGTTAACTTTTTCATATGATTCACCTTTAATTTAAATTTTTTATTTTTATTTTGATGAGAATATGCGGCAACAAAACAGCAGGTTTGCCATGGTCAAACTCTCTAGAACTAGCTCAAGCAAACAGGCAAGCTCCGGCTGTAAGCTAGAACTATCTGTTCTGTATTCATCAACTTCCAGATCACAAATCAATGAGCACTTGGCTCTTCAGCAAAAACAATATGCAAATATAAGTTCCTTTCTAAAATATGTTCACTGAATCACTAATGCCAGAAGTCCAAGCTTAAAATAGACAGCAATGTTACCATGTAAGAACATCTTAGAGTATATAAAATATAAGGGTGTTTGGTAGCCCTTTTGAATAGGATTTAGCAAACGCCAAAATAGAAGCGTTCCATGGATTTATGAATTTTTTTATTTAAGGTCCAAAATTTTGCTGCTTATATCTGGATTTCGTGGATTTAAGGGATTTATGATTTACGGATTTACTGAATCCTACGTGCAGCCAAAGAAACCCTTAAGGCCTTAATATATTTTGGCTGCTGAAACATAAGTACCCGCTCAAGGCGCTGAAGAAGAGAAGTTTTGAGCTGTCGAACACCACGCCCGCTAGAATTTTGATCCATCGTATGAATTTTTTCGAATGCATGGAAACGACCTGAACCAAGAATCAAATGAAGATATTATTACCCAAAAAACGAAGGATAACGAACAATGAGAATAAAAAAAAAACTGAGAGGTTATTACAGAGGTAGGCAGCTCGAGGAGACTCCCTCTCTAACTCATTAGCAACCCGAAGGAAGCGCCGAATCTCGGAAACCAGAATGGGTGGTAGCTTCTCGCTGTCAAATGGCTCCGGCGAGTGGCGTGCAGCTCTCAACCGCCACTGAGATGGCTGGGAGGAACCCTCGGGCACGATCTCCTCCATTGCTTGGACGATTCGCAATCTGGATTCCATGGCGAGGGCTCGCAGGCCTTCCGGGTATTTCTACCTCCGATCCCCCATGCCTTTTTGAGTCTCCCCATCTTTGCTCCTTAACTTTTCTTTCTTTTTCTTATCGGTGCTGCTTTTCGGGGGCTGAGCTTTCGCTTTTGGGTAGATAGGGGGCGTGGTTTGCCTTTGAACTTTTGGGATCTCGCCTTTTCCTTTAAGCTAATATCGCCATTGTCATGAGGAAGGAGGAGGATGGAAACTCTGAGAGCTGGAAAGAGGAGGGAGAAGCAGCAGGGAAGTCAGAAACTTTCGAAGCTTAACCATAAACTGTCAGATTTACAATTTAAGCATTCAATCTAGAAACTTGCCAAACATTAGGGATTTACCAAATCTCAAATTACAAATCCCAAATGAGAAATCATAAAATCACAAATCGCAAATATCACAACTTTCTCGTTTATTTAATCAATAGTTAATCAAATTTTGCTTTCATCATTAACCGACAATCTTGTTCTTTTAAGTATGTAACTGATGAATAACCGACCGCTAATTAATGGTCATGCTTTCAACTTAAACACATGAGTTTTAGCCATTAGATAAAAACAAATAGTAAAAACTTTCGTTGTTTCTCAGATTATCGATAAGTCAATAAGCTACATCCATTTGACCATTGAAACCCTTTGACTTATTGTTAACGGGCGAACTTTTTATTTTTACCAATGGCTTTTAACTGTTAGAAATAGCATAAATTTCTATAGTGAATCTTAAATGCAGCCAAACACGCCCATAGTGTTAGCTCCGCTTGTCCTCACTCTGACACTTTGCACGACCTTGCTCTCTCACACTCGCTTAGGGCTCACTCTGCTTAGCCTCTTTTACATGCACACACGCCAAATTCTTACCCAACTAATTCAACAGATAGATCCACTTCATTTCCTTATTGCTAGTGTGTTCTAACATAGAGCACAATAACTCCTCCAGAGAGGCTTTTCATCTCCAAAGTACAAGGCCATGAGCTTGGCAAAGTTTCAATACATTACAAAATATTATTATTGCAAACAGCCCTAAACCTAATAAATAAATGAAGATGATGATTTTAAGTACAATAATGTCTTGTCATAGCCTAGACTACATCTGAATCCAATTAGAGCAAAACCAATTTTTAAATGTACTGAAAGCATGTTGCTACGCTAAAAATGTCATTTTTGGATGAGCCTCCCACCAAACTTTACTTAATGGAGAGTGGGTACTTCGACGTTAAGAATGAAATTTTCTTAAGAAGAAAAGTAAAATAATATATTTGTTTAGAGGAACTAAATCCTATCGAAATAGAATATATATTGAGTAATATTTAAGGAATTGAAAAATTAAAGCAAGCTTATATTCTTAATGGCATCTTGATGAAATGAATTAAATGATGCCAATAACACTGTTATTTTGAGTGTAATGGAACCAAAATCAAGCTTCATAACTATGGTTGTAAATTTTACGGGACCATTTCAGTGACTAAGGGTCGTTCAAATATTGCATGTTTTTTAAATGACGATCATGACTGGTCAAAAGCAATGAAACCAAAACCGCTCAATTGTAATATAATTGAAGCTCTCTAAAAAATAATACGTGATCAAGAAGAAATACATGGAGTATCCAATTTGCTATATAGATTTCTAGTCAAAATAACAAAAATACATCTTTGAACATTTATAAATATAAATTTCTCTACAATGTGGTTCAAAATGAGGCGCCGTGAAATATTCAAGAGAAGATGATCAAAAGCTTTATTTTTCCAAAGCCTAATTTTTTTTATCGTCTATATTTGTTGCCTATTGCTACTATGATAGTTGACTCCAACCATCATTAATAGACTTGATATCCACCATCACTAATAAGGTCACTGCCCTCCTTTGCTTTGCTAACAACATTGTCACCTGTCATTGGCGACAATGCCAACACTTACTATGACCAATAAGTCCAGTGCTGACCATCACCAACAATTGTCAAATAAATATATGGGAATTTGGTGGTAACAGGTTTTTATACTAACATAAATCAACTTCGTTCTATTGTATAATTATATTAATAGTTTTAAAAAATATATTTTTACTAGTACTGAACAAACATACATTTCTTCCTCTCTCTCTCTCTCTCACACACACACACACACATAAACATATCTATGTCTGTACAAACACGTGTATGTATGCATATATGCACATCCACATACATACATACATACATATGTATGTACACATAAATGTTCATTATTGATAATCCATATGTTAAGGGAGATAAGATATTTTATGAATAGAAAGTTGCAAATTATTAGCAAAAGGATTTTTTTTCATGAGATACAAGGTCAACAACAAATATTAAAGTAGTTATGGTAAGAAGTCGTAATAGTACATAAATGGGATTGTGAATTTTAGTAATTTAAATCATCAAAAGGATTAAGATATGTTTTCTTAAGAATTATATAACTATATATGCAATTATTTTAAGCTTTAAAAAATGTGATGAATTTTAAAGGGACACTAAAGTATGCCAAAACTTTTGCAATGCTGGATCTTACTTCATTGTAAATATTGATGGGTCTATTTTAGAATGATTTAGAGCACTATATAATAAATAATTCAAGGGCTAATTAAAAAATATTTGCTAAAACTCATTTTAGCAAAGAGCTCAACTCTAATGCATGGTGTGGCCTATTCATCTCTACACTCATTTAGGAAATTTAAGTTATGACTTGAAGATCCTTTCTAAACAATTAAGATATTTTAGTAAAATAATATACATTCATAACTAATAAAAACTCTAGATCATACATGAATTACTATTTATATTTTTATTGTTAAATATTAGCTACATCAACCTTAGCATGATTTAAAAATAATGATCATAAAATATTTTTATCATGTCATATTGGTTATCAAAGAGAACAAAAAAAAATTAAATAATGTTAATTATGAGAAAAATATTTATGATATTATGCATGACCTCTAAAATTAATAATATGAGCAAAAACTTATTATTCAATACTGGTTGGAAGAGTGTTTTGCCTTGCTATATGAATTAGGATTGAATTTTGAGCATAGATGATGTAATTTCACATTTCCCAAAAGGTTCATGATTAAAGATTAAAATTATAAAGGGCCAAAGAGTTATTAAAAATAGTTATTTTGTTGTATTGTTACTTTGATATGATTTTTTAAAGATGATTATTATTATATTTTATGTAGCTCAATTGTATTAGGTTGTCATATTATTTGAAGACATGTATATGATTAATTTGTAACTTTGAATCTTTAACGGAAAATCATACAATTAGAAGGATCAAGTGAAAATTGAAATATGAAAAAATGACATTCAATAAGAGTTATCCTTCTTATGTAGAGGCCCAAATGGCGACCACCAGCAACATAGTCTTAATGAGCTATAATATTTTTTTTTCAATTAAAAAAAATTGACTTCCAACCTATAAATGGATGTTGTATGGTTTATCTTAGATTATAATTAAGTTTAATAATATTTAATGAAAGTTTGCAAGTTATTTTGTATCATTCATCTCAATTTAGCTTGATGACTGAATTATACAATCGTTTTTTTTATTTTGTTTTTATTGTTGTATAACAACACTTTAAATCACCTCCATTCTTATCTCCTACATTTTAGCTTCAACCTCTTAACACTTGCTCCATCCCCAACATCATCATGCAAAAGGAGTATTAAGAAAAACCTCTTGGCTTCTTCACCCTCTTTAAGAACCCTACATGATTCCCTTCATTTTAGCATCTTGTAAGAAAAAATTATCAATTAAATATAACATAAACTTAAGCCTCTCCCTACATCCCAATAACTCATCCAATTTCTTTCTAAGAGAACTCTAATCCTAAAATGATTCTTAAGTTTTCTTGGATTCATTTACTACAACGTCATTCCCCTTTTCCATCCACTTCTAGCACTAGAGCCTTCTTCCTTCATTTGTAGCCTTAATAATCTCCGACATATGAAAATTTAATCATATCATTACAAATGGCGGACGATTGAGGGCCGCCATCCATCATGGTCAATTGATTTGACACTTTAGTAGGCTGTGTTTTTCCCCCAAAAATGTATTTAAACTAGTCCTTGACCTTTTCTTAATGACAAGGCCATGAAAGGCTTTGCTCATGTGTTCGTATATCTTCTTGAGTATTCCTTGAGCTCAATCCTTTATCATATTCTAAAAAATTTTACAGATTCAATCTAGCCAAGGGCTACCTCTCAAGAATATCATCTATTGAATTTTCTTAATACCTATTTAATATTATTAAAAATTCACTTGCTATTGAGCAACCTTTATTATTAGTCAGATTAATGTCATTATCCAAACTAAGAAATTGTGTCAGTACTTTCCTTACATAATCACATTTTTAACACCATTTGGGTCTAGTTCCCCATTATCACAACCTCGATTACAACTTTGTCCACTATTAATTTCATGTATAAAGATATTTTGCCTCTTATACCACATTCTATTATCTTAACCTTGCAACTAAAATCATACTTTATGAATAATGCCACTTGGCAAGCACCTCCGAATGAAATGTGACATGTATTTAAACTGCTTCAAAGAAAATAAGGCATAGTGGGAGGGGTGGGGGAGTGGGAAGATTAAGGGGGAAAGAGAGATAGAGACAGAAAGGCCTCATAGTGAACACCATCCAACAAATACAAATATTTGTAACCCATATCATAAAGGCATTCTCACTTCTACCAAGAATTGAGTTATGCATTTCCTTGATATTCTTTCGTTGATGAAGTCCCTTTTGCAAAAGATCAAGTTCCACCAAAAAAAAAAAATATCATCGAAATATCTCAAAATAAAAATAAGCCGGTTGGTTTAATCACTCAAAAAATCTTTAGTGTCCTATCTATCTTTTCCTTTTCTTCTCATCGAGTATCCAACAAATACTACACAATCCTTTATCTCCTTACAAATATTTGAAGAGTACACTCGCTATTGTCTTTACAATTCAATAAGTTTTCTCCATCAACATGACCTTATCATTGTTAACTCACAAAACCTCACCCTACCACCTTAGTTGATTCCTATTAGCCTCCACCATCATGTCATTAGATAACATTAATAAGATTAAAAAAAAAAAGTTGAAGGCTTATCAACTAGAAAGGAAAGGATGTGAGAGGTGAGGCCCAAAAAGCCATCAAATGAGAAGATTTTTGTAGGAAGATGCATTATAGAGGAATCCCAATAAACATTTTAGCCAATAAAATTTAAAAATATCTCTAAAAATTGCATGAAAATAATGAATCAAAGAAAAGAAGTAATTAGTGAAAATTTAAATAATTATGGTATTTGAGCATTTGTATTTTATAGGGCAAAAATCAAAACTAATTAATTAATATATCCATAAAGTCTATGTGGAAGCATTGCATTAAAAAAAAAAGTATAATATAAAGATAAATGTTTTAATATATCAATAAATCTGAAATTAATAAATTTTTCATTATTTTTTTCCTAAATTTTATACCACATAATTAATTCTTCAGAAAAGCTTGTGTTTGACTCATTAAATAGCTCTTAATTGAATCGTTAGTTAAATAAACAAGCAAAATACAAATAATTTTTTGAAGCTCGAATTATAAACGAATCAAATTCAAAAAACTCTTTCGATCGTATTCGGCTCTTTTTAACTCGAAATAAAAATATATATATATATTTATTATTTATATAATAATATATTATATATACTTATATATCAAATTTTAAATTAAAACAACTTATGCGGTCATGCAGTTCTGCGCTTTCTATTGAATTGAATTGGTGCATGTTCAATCAAGCATATTACATTTATTTTTCTAATTATTTGAATGTGTTAATTTCGAGCTAAACACGAGTCAAACACTAACATGAATACATAAATTAAGTCGAACACGATCACGCTGCCAACGAACAATTTCCAACATGAACTAATTTCAAACACAAGTCAATTCGGTTTAAGCCGACCACGAGCCAAGTTTAACCCGTGCAAGCTCAACTTGTTCACAACCCTAGCTACGACCATATAACTTCCAATATCGCCGGCACTTAAAAAAAAAAGAAATTGTATTGTGTGCAGGTCTCTAAACTTTTTCTAGTACATATCATTTAATTCCTATGAATTTATATATCTAACACCTAAATTTAAATTTATATATATGCCCTTTTTTCAATACATAAAAAATATATCACTTCTTAAAAATTAAAATAATTATATATTTTTATTTTATATAAAAAATTTAGATGATATCAATATAAAAAAGTAAAGTATATCTTTTAGATTTCTATTTATACATTAAAATTGGGCGATATATATGTAAATAGGGCTGTCAAAACGGCTCATTGTTCACAAACAGCTCGTGTTCGGCTCGTTCTCATTGTTCATGAACAACTCGTGTTCGGTTGTTTGTCTCGAAATACTTCCAATCAATTATATTATATATATATATATATATATAAAATAAAAATTATTAAATTATATTAAAATGATGTTTTAAATCTTGCATCAATCCAACATTTTATGATTACGTGATTAGGATTGTTACTTGGTTAGGATTGTCAAATTGACTATTTGTTCGTGAACGGCTTGTGTTCGGCTCGTTAAGCAAACGAGCGGAACACGAATACACGTAAATTATTATTATTACTGTTATCATCTTTTCAGCAATTATTGCTTCAGCGCCGCGAAGCAAAGCCTTTAAAGGCAGCGATTTAAAGCAGAGCATGCAGGAAATGGCTTTCTCCGCTTTAAAGCAGAGCCTGTTGGGTGATGAACTTTTCCTACTCATCAGTGAAAGATTACTTACAGCCGAAGCATGGCCATGGTGGGAACATTTGTTCCAAAATATCTTCATATAAACTATTTTGATAATTTTAAATTTTATAGGATTAACCTCGAGATTAGTGCAATACACATCATTCATATGCACTTTAATCTTAAGAAAATTTAAATAAAAATAATGTAGGGAAGTCCGGCAAATAATCGAATTCTTGGTCGATTATTCAGTTCTTTTCATCTGTAGATTAATGCTCGAGTGATGATTTGTCTTATTATACCTGCAATATTTTCAAAGAATTAAGCAATCTGCTTCTACAATAATGTTTTTCCACCCAAATTTCTTAACAATCATCAGACCGAATGCTACAGCATCAGCTTCAGCAATCAAAAACGATACAAGAACGATAACCTCAAACGAACAAATAACACGACTCAAAAAAATCCCTACAAACACCTCCAACACCATCAATGCTAGTTTTCCAGCTCCCATCAATATTGGTTTTGAAGAAAGCAGTAACAGGACTACACCAAATCACCCTGTTTTTGATCTTATTGTTCAAATTCATTGTGCTATTTTGCTTCCCCTTTAAGCCATTGGAAGTTAGATTTTGAGCCAAATATTTAAGCAAAAGTGTTATCAATGCGTATTTCGCACTAATAAAGTTATTAATAGTGATATTTTTACGTGATGAAATGATTTGATTGTTATGCATGTAAATACAAAATTTTGAAGCTCAATAATTATTAAACATAAGAAGAATAATAAAGAAAAAGAGGAGAAAAAATAGGAGAAATAGAAAGAGAGTTGAAGGGAGGGAAGCTCTTGGGGTTTTATTGAAATAAGAAAGATGCATTGTGCAATTTGTAGCTTGACAGAGTTTTCTATAGAGAAAATGTCCTTTGGATAGAAGGGTGTGTCATTGCATGCCAAACTGGCTAACAATTTTCTGTCATTAGTTAAGTTAATGAGCTCTCACCACTTGAGTTGGTGAATGGTTATTTAGCACTTGGCATGATGAATGATTATCAACTACTTAGTTAGATGAAGAGAGAAATCGAGAGAGATAGATAGGGTAGAAGAAGCGTGAGAGAGGGAGCCACGGGGTCGAGAGAGTCAGAAGAAACACGAGAGATAGACACGGGGGTTGTGGGGTAATATGTACACAAAGAAACGCATGCCGCTGGGTTGGGGCAATATGTACGTGAAGAAACATATGCTGCTGGGTTGGACCTGCGGTCGCGTTTTAACTTAGATTATTCAGAAATGTCATCGGGCCGCTGTTTCCATACAGACCCAACCACATTTTCAAAAATGCACCGCATCAAAAAAGCTGTCACAAAAGGGCCTGAAGTATTTAAAAAAATGAGTACAACACCTATGTTGGGTTGATTTGTTTAAGTCATCATTTCAGCATTTAAGTTAGGCCGAACTTAATTATAAAATGTACCAAATCCAATTTTTTTTTCTCATGATTTTGAATAATCTTTCTTAGAATACAAAGAGAATAACTCTATATCAAATAAATTTTTAGATATAACTATTTTTAAGAATAAAGTAATAGACAGTTTCTTTTCAATTTTCACCATAATGTTTGTTCTATGAAGTCGTCTCCTGCGTTATACGAATATTTCCTCGCGTTATTCTGAATATTTTTCTCATTATTCACGTGTTATTGGTGTGTTATTGATGTGATTTTGAGAATAACACATTAAAACACATGAATAACGCGAGATAATATTCCTAAACTCTCAAGAGAACACTAATAACACATGATTAACGCATTAAATAACACATGAAAAATGCGAAAAATATTGAGAATAATGCGAGGGAACATTCCTATAACAAAAATTGAATAATACATTAAATAATACATGAATAACGCGAAAAAATATTTATAAACCCTTAATAACACACCAATAACACATTAATAACGCGAGAGAATATTCACATGCAATGAAATATTCTTATGCAATGAAATATTCATATAACACATCGGTTGGGCTGAGTCGCACATTTCGACCTTCAACGTGTCAGCACGAGATTGGACTCCTCAAACAGCTTTGCATTCGAAGTCATGATTTAATATTTTTTCTATTATTTTATTGTAATAATGCGAAGGAATATTCATAAACCTTTAATAACATACCAATAACACATGAATAACGCGAGTGAATATTCACATGCAATGATATATTCATATAACACATCGGTCGGGCTGAGTCGCACGATTTCGATCTTCTACGTGTCAGCACGAGATTGGACTCCTCAAACAGCTTTGCATTCGGAGTCGTTATCTAATATTTTTTCTATTATTGTTATTATGGGTAGCTGCAAGCTCGTAACCCGTCCTTTTTCCAGTTTCGCCGGAAAACTAGTCGCCTCACTCCTCCCACCGGCCGCACGACCTCCCCCCTCCTTCTTTCCCTTCGCTGAAACACCGATCTTCTCAGCTGAATCAATCGATACTCTCTGTCACCAACATCGCTTCCACGAAGCCTTCGACCACTGCCTCCACCTGCGTTCCATCAAAGCTGCTCGCCGCCTCCACTGGAACCTCCGTTCAACTCTCCTTCATCCCTCCACCGCTCTCTGTAATCGTCTTCTTCATCTTTATTGTAAATGCGGAAACCTTGTCGACGCCCGCAAACTGTTCGACGATATGCCCCACAGAGATACCTGCTCATTCAACACCATTATGGCCGGCTACTCCATTGCAGGTCATCTCGCTGAGGCCCGCCGCATCTTTGATGAGATTTCTGAACGGGATCACTTCTCATGGAGCAGTATAATTGTTTGCTATACTCGTCACGGCTTGCCATCTGAGTCGCTGGATCTGTACAGGCGCATGCTTCATGAAAACACTGCTGGTAATTTTAAGAACAGCAACAGATTCACTGCTTCGAGTGCTCTTGCTGCTTCTACGGCGGTTTGTAGTCTTCGGCATGGGAGGGAGATTCACTGCCATATAGTGAGGGCTGGGCTGGAATCTGATGCCGTGGTCTGGAGCGCGCTCTCAGATATGTATGCCAAGTGCGGGGACATCAACAATGCACAAAAGGTGTTTGATTTGAGTTCTGACCGAGATGTTGTTTCTTGGACAGCAATGATTGGGAGGTATTTTGATGGTGGAAGGACAAAGTTGGGGCTGGAGCTCTTTTCTCATATGCTCAGCATTGGTGTTCGACCGAATGACTTCACCTTTGCTGGAGTTTTGGATGCTTGTTCAGAGCTGGCTGCTGAAGAGCTAGGTAGGCAAGTACATGGCCACATGATCAGAGTGGGATTCAATCAGTTATCTTTTGCTGCAAGTTCTCTTTTACACATGTACTCCAAATGTGGAAACATTGAGAAGGCTAAGGTTTTATTTGAAAGAATGCCAAACCCTGATTTAGTCTCATGGACTTCGATAATCTCTGGATTTGCTCAGAATGGCTAACCCAGAAAGGCTCTGCATTATTATGAGCTGCTGCTTGAATCTGGGATTAAGCCGGATCACATTACCTTTGTTGGAGTTCTTTCAGCATGTGTGCATGCTGGACTGGTTGATAAAGGTCTTGAGATCTTTGATTCAATAAAGGAGAAATTTGAGCTCAGGCACACCACCGATCACTATGCCTGCGTTGTTGATCTCCTCAGCCGTGCAGGGCAGTTTCAGAAAGCAGAAGATATAATTAATGCGATGCCAATGAAGCCTGATAAGTTCTTGTGGGCTTCTCTCCTTGCTGGCTGTAGGATGCATAGAAATCTTAAGTTAGCCAAAAGAGCAGCGGAATCTTTATTTGAGATAGAGCCCGAAAATGCTGCGACGTATGTTGCATTGGCCAATATCTATGCCTCTGCTGGCAAGTGGGATGAAGTTGAGAAAATTAGGAGAAAAATGGATGAAAGAGGCGTTGTAAAGAAGCCAGGTTCGAGTTGGATTGAGGTTAAGAGAAAAGTTCATGTGTTCTTAGTAGGAGATGACTGCCATCCACAGGCAAAACAAATCTCTGCATTCCTGGAGAAATTGCAAGTCAAAATGAAGGAGGAAGGGTATGTCCCAGATACAAATTTTGTACTGCATGATGTTGAGGATGAGCAGAAAGAGCACAACCTTTCATACCATAGCGAGAAGCTTGCTGTTGCATTTGGAATTATTGCTACCCCACCTGGAACCTCCATCAGGGTCTTTAAGAACCTGAGAATTTGTGGGGATTGTCATACTGCTTTTAATTTTATCTCGAAGATTACAGAGAGGGAAATAATTGTTAGGGATTCAAATAGATTCCATAAGTTCAAGAGTGGAGACTGTTCGTGCGCTGATTATTGGTGAGTTTTAGGATCAACATGAACATATTATATTGAGAGTTTTGTGGTGTAGGTAACATCTGAATTCTTTTGTATTTGTACACTATTGTTGGCTAAATACTGTAATTAACCCATGAGTGAGTATTAGGGAATAGCAAGATTAAATATTTATGTTATTTTACAGCCTTTGTACCTAAGAATAAGGTGTTCTTGGCATCTAAATAATCTTGTAGGGTTGCACCACCTTTCATGTAGAATAAGAATAGTTATTGCTTCAAATCAAGTTAATTTGCGATTGACTTCATCATGTAAAAATATCTCTAACTTTTTCCATATATATTTTGATTTGTTGTGGTGTTCTTATTTGCTACATTATGAATAATCTCATATCTCAGATTGAAGATGATTGAATTGATTGCAATTGATTATCTTCTATTTTTCCTTTCCTTCAAAGTTTTTAAAATCCTCATTAGATGAAAATGCTCTCATCATCATTTTTGAGATATTAAAAATGATTTTTTCCATTAAAATTCTCAAATTTACACTTGGATGTGTTAGCAGAAGACTTTGAATGACTAGATGATGTCGTCTCTGAGGAATACTTTGATTGCTTTGACAATAATTTCTTATGACACAAAATGTCTAAATCACTTCTCTATATCAGCGACAATGAGACCAATAAATGTAATTTAAAGAGAAATAAAAATGGAACACCATATTAACATGTGTGATATAAGATACATCAGAACAATTACTGGTATGTTATCAACAAAATTTTTCATTTGACATGAATCTTTAGGCAATTAACATGGATCTAAGAGTATTTTTTTATCATGAAATGTTCATACTTCGATTAAAGATCATCCAAAACTCTGATTTGAACAACAATATTGTCATACTGGCCAACTCGATGAGACGGGTCAAACATCATCAAAATTGGTCCAATCCAAGACAAATCAAGTTTGGATCAAACCGTTTTAACCATTTTTGGATGTTTCTGGTGCCCAATTAGAAGGTCAAATAGATTTCAAATTCAACAAGCTTATAGCCAAATAGAGTTATCGGGGAGACAAATTCAATGAGCCTATGAGTTAAATCCTATATAAACATGAAGAGTTTCTATTGCATTAAATTAATGATTTTTAAATCCATCCCAATACAATTTGCACCAAGACATCCTAACAAAATCTCTTAATAGAAATGAAATTAGCTACTTTTTGAAATGATGCCTCCTTGAATGAATGAATAGAATTAGGACAGGAGCTGTTTACAAACTCAGAACTGAAGCATGCAATTAGGGAGTCTTTTTAAGATGAGAGAGCCTTTTAATGAAACCTGCTAACAATGATTGTAGGCATGGATCAACATGAATATTTAAACGTAGAGCCATATGCATTAATGCTTCTAAGCAATAACTATGGGTTAAATCCTATATAACTATGGGTCGTATCCTATGGTTAGTTGAAAGGAAACTTTATTCAAACTATAAATTCAAGATACACCATGTGATCATGATATATACTAATAATAACTTGAAGCTGCATTAGTGTAGTCATTTGAATAAGACATACAAATGATACAACTTACACTATGTTAAAATTTTCGTGAGTAATATTTGGCACAAGGAATCTTATTTAGATCCTTTGTATTACAGTCGACACATAAACTTATTTATGTGATACGTCATCAATAAATTTTTATCATTCGACACAAATCTCGAGACATGGGATGAATCTCGAAGTAATTTTTTGAACAAAAAAATATTTAAATTTTAATTAAAAGCCACCAAAAACTCCAATTTCAATAAACTTATGGTCATGTTGACCAACTCAACGAGAAAAATTTAACAATACCAAAATTGATTCAATCTGAATTAAATCAAGTTTGTATCAAGTTGTTAAACTACTTATGGAAGCTTTCAATGCATAATTGGATAGTTAAACGGACTCCAAAGTTGACATGTTTATAGTCAAATCGAGCAACTCTACTAGACGAATCCAAGAAGCCCAAGCACACTTAGTTATGACGTCATTAAGATACTTAAATGTCCACGGAACACTGTCTGATTGAAGAAATCTTCCTAGGTCATTCGACTAGAGCTGCCTGAATTTCTTTCTTATTTAGAATCTATACTATGTAAATAGAGCCCTACCTCTCTCTTGAGAGAAGACCTCAACCCTGAGCCAAAGGAAAGACTGGAGCTTGGAGAAGGAGCTAAAGTCCATCATTGTTTCTGCATCAAAGATTCGACGAACTCCACCCACAACATCGAACACCGCTCGCTAGCTAGTGTCGACCACCACCGGCCACCACCTAATCCTTATAGAGAAATCTCTTACGGAGTCAAAATGTGCACTGCAACATCTTAGTATATGTTGCAGAACAACGAAGCACTCGACAAAGCTGCATGAAGTACAAAATGTCAGGCACAACACTTATCAAAGTCAAGATGCTGAAGTCCTAACAACTATTATCAACTGCATTCACCTCCGACAACCATGCAGTGGATATTGTTAGAGTTGTTAATGAGCCAAGCTTGAGCGAGCTCATGCTTGGGTTGTGTTCGGCTTATTTGAAATTGCTCGTGTTTGAAATCGGATCGTGTTCAAAATTGGCTCACGAACAATGTGTTCAAGTTCGGCTCGAAATTGTCTCGTTAAATCTATTTGAAAAAAAAATTAAATATAGGGTACTAAATTTGAAACTGTGCCAAATTTGTGCAATTGAAGACGCAAATCATATGACCAAATGAGTTGTTGTGATTTAAATTTAGATATAAATATATATAATATGTAATTATATAAATAATATATATAATAGATTATTATATAAATAAAGTTATTTCAAGCTAAAACGAGCAGAACACAAGCGAACAAATGGTCGTTCGTGTTTGGCTCTTTTATAATTCGAGCTTAAAAAATTTATTCGTGTTCGATTGTTTTACTTAACCAACGAGTCAAACACGAGTTATTTAACGAGCCGAACACGAGCTGTTTGTGAACGAGCTTTTTTTGACAGTCTTAAATATTATATCTTGAGAAACTGTGATTTTTTTTCTTTCCAAGTTTTCCACATAAAAACTTCTGGTATTTCTACTGGATGTTTTATTCTATCTGAGTGCGTGTTGGATTCTCTTGCAATGATAAGACGATAATTCATTACCCCAACGCCATAGAATTCTCTAACACTCATCTATATAAAACCTAAATTTTAGAGAGTTAACCAACGTTAGGTTTGGAGGAGTTTTATCTCATGATTGCATTATGAATGTTTGATTTATGAGTAATTCAGTAAAAACTGATTTTATGATGAAATTAGAATTTATCTGCAAATTTCAAATGTAGGCAAAGAGTTTAAGGAATTTATCTCATCTCATTCTTATTTTATAGCCAGCAAACAACTGCAAGAACAACAAATAGCCTTCACAAATAGAATCTAAGGTGTCCAAATTCGGCGGTCATCACTGCAGAGCAATCCATGGACGGCATTGGTGGAGTTAGGATCTTCGTTGTGGCAGGACGAAGAGTCTAGAGGTGGAATGAAGCCTCGCGGAAGCATAGAGGAGAAGACCATATCTCGAACTTTATAATGGCCTGAAAACCTCTTCCTTCTCCCCACACTTCTTCTGTTCTTGTTCTTGAGACGGTCGGCGGTTGAAAGAGGAGGATCATCAACCTTTGATTTGGGTAACTGAAAGTGCTGGGAGAGTTGGAAGTTGACGGAGGAAAAAGGATCTCTCTTGGTTTGGAGTGGTTGGTGTGAGAGAATGGGAGAAGAAAGATGAGAGAGGATTAAAGAAAGGAGGAAGGAGGAAAAGATCAAGTTGAGGCAATGAGCAGCCATGAAAAGTTGAAGCTTTGGGAATGGTTGTGCATTTGGATTTGTGAGGGAAGCTGGCTAATAATGGTCCGGAAGTGGGCTAGTAATGGTGCCTCTGGGGTAATCTGTCAAAATTGTGTTTTGTCTGTTTTTTTAAAATGTTTTCGGCGAAAGCTGTGTTTGACAACCTCACCTCGCTAAGGCTTCGTTTGAGTGCACGGTAAAGCTTGTTTTGTTGGGGAGAAATGCGATGGAATTCTACGTGTTGTTTGTTTCATTGAGGTATTAGCGAGTTTCATCGTGGCGTGAGTTCGTCTACACTTCGCAGCTCGCACATATCGAACTTTTATTCAAAAAACATATTGTTGTGGGATATGTACTTCCTGTCATAGAAATGAAACGCAAAGAACACAAGCAAACACAAATCGTTTACGTGGTTCAATCCAGCTGGATCTACGTCCACGGGAGGGAATCAATCAAATAGTTCATTAAGGCAAAAGAAATGAAGAATACATAGCTTATACATAGAGATGAGTCCTCATCTTCCTTCTATGGCCTTCCTCTCAAGCGACACCTTGATACAAGGCCTCAAGATACTCTCCTCCTCTCTAACTCTCTAGCTATTCTCTCCTCCTTTGTGGTAGCTTAAAATCTCTTCCTTTTCTCTCCTAAGTCTCACACCCTCTCTATTTATAGAAGCAAGAGAGTGTTAGGTGAGCGGTAGGTGAGATGTGGTAGGTGAGCGGTACCATATTACAAAAGTGTTCTTTTACCTTAGTTCAACAATTGGGGATCAAAATAACACACATGAATTTTATGGGCCATAATGCTATAGTTCAATTTTTCCTAATGTTACTTTTAAACTAAGGCTATGTTTGGGGGCGCTGTTAGAGCGCTTCGCGGCACCCTACTGCCGAAAATTACTGTTTAGGGGCGCTGCAGATGAACTTCGCGGCCACCATAGGCAAGGTTTTCGCTAAAAAGCGGGTCGCGGGATCGACACCGCGGCCCGCATTCCACGGTTTTTTTACCCAGTTGCCCCTTCGATCGATCGTCGTTCGGGCTGTTAGGGGACTTGAAGCTCTGCTCCTTCCCCGCCTCTTCTCTCGTGTTCGTTCGTTGGTCATCTTCTCTGTCAGTTCAGCTTCTTCATCTCAAATTTTCCCGCTAAAAGAAGTCCTGTCCATCGGTCTCCTTCCTCTTCCATCCTCTCC